CAGACCGTGACAGAGAATCCCGGGTACCCATCACAGACCATGACAGACAACCCTGGCACCCATCACAGACCGTGACAGAGAATCCCAGTACCCATCACAGACCGTGACAGAGAAACTAATTGTAAAGCATCAGATAAACGGTTAGCTACAAATGTGTCGTAAAGAAATGGAACAAAAGGATTTCCATTTAATTAGTAACAATAGATCCATCGTGTTTCACATTTTTAATCCCGCAAGGAATTGCGCTAAGAGCTTTTTCTCTTACCAAAGTTACCCTCGTCAAGCTTTTATTCGTAAGGAGAAATATATCAGCTACTCTTGAAAACTACCCGTAGCGACTGAAATACGAAATATCACTTTTATCCTATTGGAAAAAATGCTCGTGAGAAAAATACTCCAACTATTGTCGGATTTTTTTAGAAATGCCAATGACGATTTGTTGAATAAGTTTCGATGGCTTCTATCTATTGAAGTCGGGTTTTCACCATTAGATAGAGCAATGCGGAGGACATCTATCTATGTAATATTCATTAAGTTCTAGGAAGTTTTTCAAAGATATTTGCAAGTATAAATTTTTGGTGTTGCAGATTTTTACAAGTTTTCGTAGCAATCTATGCTCAAATTACAGCAAAATATAACCCAGAGTAAGCCATATTGTCCATAAAATTTCCAGATTTCAGAAAATTTTTTTTGAAGGATGAATCCAGGATGAGGATGAGACAATCAACCAATTATATAGGAAATATAGCACTCTTCTGGCTACATTTTGGTGCAATTTGAGCATAGGTCGCTACGAAAACTTGTAGAAATGTGCAGTAGAAAAAATGCTCGCTTGTAAATACCCTTGAAAAACGTTTTGGAACTTAATGAACATTACACAGATAGAGGCCCCCACATTGCTCTATCTAATGGCGAAAACCTGACTTCGATAGCTAGAAGCCATCGAAAGTTATTCAAAAAATGGTCGTTGGCATTTAAAAAAACCGACAATAGTTTCACGATAACAAGCTCAACTTTTGTTCATAAATAAACCTCAATGAGACTAAGAGAATTCCAAAGAGATATGTATGTTCTCATGACATAGTACTCAATAATAATGACTGTTAAACTGAATGTTCAGTGCACAATAAGATATTCTCGAGAGAACAGAATTAGAGACTTCACCTGAAGTTTTCAATAAAAGAATATATTTCTTTCCAGTAATTCGGCAGAGGATGGGCGGTGGTGACAATTTGAGGTTGGAGAGGATATGATGATGTTGGTGGGTGTAGATGGATGAAGGTGAAGAGAAGACTATCACCTAAAACCTGTCACCCACCAACACTCAACCTCACTCACGCTCACACTCATCCTGAAAAAACCATAATCATTTAAGTTTAATAAAATAGTCGAGTTGTGAGAAATTATTTTACACAAGCGTCTTTTGTGACACACAGCCTATTTTGCCTTAAAAGGATTCTGTGATCGCCAAAATATATGCGGAGCACTTGGAGCAACTTGTGTTGAACAAGCGTTTTCTGGAAATTACACATTCGGCTGCTTTTGTCCGAATTCCATTGGATTGATCGGCAGTCCGTGCCCACAAGAAACATGTAAGTTAATATTGTGTTTGTGTTAAGAGCTGTTCTATTAGAATTCTTGTTATGGTTCAGATATATACAAGATGTACCAAAAGTCCCCCATGAAAAATATTTGAATATATTCGTAATTTCTTAACTAAAATTCAAGGTTGTTTTTTTCTGGTGGGTGGAGGAACGTTCCAAGTCTTGCTGAATTTGAGTGAAAGTTTTCTATAAAACTTTCAATGGTGCGGCAAAATACCAAAATTTAGAGTGGGTGTGGATGTGGGATGAGGGTGTGGCGAACATCTACATGCATGCTCACACCCACACCCTCAAGATACTAATAAGCGTTTGAAGACTATGCCTCCATGTGTCTAACTTTCGAGCATTTTTTTTGAGACAAGAATGCAAACAATTCAGATTGTCTGACGACGAGATGGACGAGAGAGAGCTCGTAACAATTTATCTCTACATTATTATTCTGTTCTTTCGAATAGCCATTTAAATTCATTTCACTCGCAATGTTGATGTGGCGGCAGACTATTCTAATGGTCTAAGACAAGCACACTGGCAAAAGGACAATTTATGTGAGAGGTTGAAGTTACAAACTTTATATTTTGAATAATAATTTTGTACTGCAACGGCAGCTAGTGCATTTTAATGTTTGCTCGTATTCAAAATACAACAGAAATGATGAATTTGAGTAGGACGGTCTCGATGAATTCGGTTCAACTCAATTCAATTTGATTTGATCTGATTCAGCTGAATAACATCGAATCGAATTGTCAAAAATTTTACTGAGTTTTCTGTCTCTGATGAACACAGAGGTTTTCCATTAAAACTCAGTTTTGAAAGAAAAAGTCCTTTTTTAGATCATTTCAGATCGTCGCTGTACTTCGAAACACTGCTTTGACTTCATCTAAAACATGAGTGCACCTAGTTCTATATTACATTCTATGCCAAACCTAAAACTATCTACTTTGTTTACACAAATCTTTTATGATAATGAATAGCAAGAAACACTACAACTACAATTCCAACTACAACTACAATTCCAACTACAACTACAACTACAATTCCAACTACAATTCCAACTACAACTACAATTCCAACTACAACTACAACTACAACTACAATTCCAACTACAACTACAACTACAACCACTACTCAGCAGCAATGTAAGCATTAGATTAAAGCTTGTTGATCTTGGCAAATGCCAATTTTTACTCAAGTATATATAGCTGTTTTGTATGCAATATTAGTCTGTAGCTAGCGGAAGGTAAATTGACAAGATCAGCGATCTTAAATTATGAGTAATTCAATCTTTTATTATTAAAAAAAATCAAGTAATAGTAATCTACATGTTGGCTGTTTTTCATTATTATCGAAGTTCGATACGTTTTGTCGACAGCTACGAAATGAAATTCATTCTTCCTTCTCATTTTATAAGAATGTACTTTATTCTAAGCACCTCCTCATTCTCATCGTCACCTGAATTCAGAATATTTTGAAGTTAGGTATCCCAATTTTGTCGGACATCCTTTTCGAAGCATTTCATTCATAGTTTTGACTACCAAGATTGCAAAGAGCTTCATTTTAGTTATCAAGAGAGAATACATATTTCACTGTCGAATAATATTATATTAGTCAAAGATTGATTACTTGATTATTTATGAGCACCGTTAGAATAGGTCCAGAAAAAATTTTGATTGTAATGTCCCCATTCATTTACGTCATTTATTAGATTTAAATCAATTAAGGTTACGCGACGTATGCAGAAACACATTAAGGGCGTGACCGCGCGTTACGGAATTTCATTTTTTCATATTGTGACACCTGTAGCTTCTCAAAAATCAAGGCAAACTTGCTAAAATTTTTATCATAGATAGAGATGGCTGAGATCTATTATCAGTAAAAATTTTATCTATTTCTGTCTAGTCATAGTTGAGTTATTCAACAAATACTGACCGTTACGGAATTTCATAAAATGGAAATTTTTTTTAGGGTGATGCAGAAGTTAAGCATTTTACTAC